TAACATAAATGTGCATATGCATGTCATGTATAAAACACCTTCCTGATAAAAAAGCTTTGGCAGTCTATACACTAGTATGTGTTTCCAAAATATACCAATTTTTCCACTACAAATGGCATATACATACTACTTAGCAAATGACAAATACGTACTACTTAGCATAAGTAAATTTCCATTTTCTGAGAAATCTTCCACAGTAATTTGATCTGTGTCAATAAAAAGTTGCTCCTTTCTCTCCTGGTCTATATTCATGGCATGAGTTTCTATCTCATTCAGAGGCTCTATCAACTCCTGAAATGATGGCCTCTTCTTCACATCCATCTTGAATAATAAAACCAGAGTATTTAATAATATATGATCAAAAGCATTGAAAAATAATTATTTTCTTCTTCTGAGAACAATTTTAGCGAGGGTCATAAAACAGGAATTTCCCCTTAGTTACAGATCTTCCCCTCCATAAATTTTCTTATACTTAAAATATTTTTAATTTATTTCAGGCAAATGATGACGAAGAGCTACTGGTCTCTGCCTTTTTCTTGGGATGTAAACAGTTTTACAAAGGGAAAAGATGTTATAGAAAGGAAAAATGCTGTAGAATGACTTTTACCATTCTGTTTGTAAATGCATTTCTGTTTCTATCTGATTCAATGGTTATGAGAGTTTCACTTGGAGATTTCAGTTTAGTAGACATAACATGTATATGATAACCCATTACTCACCTGACAACAGGTAAATGTTAGCTGCAAGAAATCCAAAGGACAGTCACCCACCATTTCACTGAAGGCCACATAGTCAAGGCCAAAAGTCTGCAAATTATCAATAACAATCAATTAAAAAAAATTATACAAGTAAAATCAAATATCCATATATGTATGTAGTTAAATTTAGATTTCAACCTACAAGCAAAACTTCAACGAGCATGCATACAGCTTTGTGAATTCCATCATCTGAAATCATCAACTTCTGTTATGCACCAGTCCTCGGAATCATATAGGTGTGCACTGTGCTACAAATCTCATCTACCACAATATCTAAATTCTCTACAACTTCTACAACTTGCACTCACCTGCGTTCTGGGTAATATATCTGGATCTGCTGGTATTCTTGCTATCATTTCACACAGCACTATGCCATAGGAAAAGACATCAGCCTATAGAAATGAACAATAATATGGGTATTAAAAAAAAACAAACAGGATAGTCATACCTACCAGTTCATATCTAAGCTGACAAATACATAAAAATAGGAGGCTATGTGTAGGATTAATCTCTTGGGTTTGATTTTTGAGATATGAATATATAAATTTTACTGCTTTACACCTTTTAACATCAGACTATATCTACTACTTAACAACAGTTTCCAGATCAAATCCTACAAAGGATGAATTAAGATCCAAACTATAAGGTAAATCTCATTTTATTTCATAGTTTGGATCTTAGCTTTGCTAGTATAAATAAAATACTATAACTCTTGTTGTCATTTTCATGATCTCATCTAAGAGAGGTTGATAAAAATAATGGGAATCCACTTAAAACATAATGTTATCAGTTTGTCCACCAGATACATCAAATATTTCCTTAATATGTTTTGATTAAATAAGTCAAAAAAAAAATTCAAAAGCACAGATCTGAACTGTTTATAAAAATAATTACTGCACCTTTTCTGCATGTTAAGGGTATCAATCTGAATTTACATTAATGCTTTTACTATGCCCTTTCAATATGAGGAGAAATGCAGTGGTAAATTACGATGTAATAAAATCAAAAATCCATTTACATTTAGATTAGTTCATTAGAAGCAGACATCTGGTAGACACACGTGTATAACACTTCAATGCTATCAGGAATCATCTCCTACAGTGATCTCACCACCTGCGTCTTGGGGACTTTACAGAAGAATAATGCTGACATGTTACCTTGCTGCACTTAAACACAACATTATATTCATGACAGCACCACCCCATGAAAAAATTAAGTTGGTGCATTTTTTTAAATCTAATTCACGACAATAAAAGAGTGGCATGTTTGTATGATTGATTCACTTATGCAGTTTATATGATTAATATGAAGGGAGCATTTAGGAACTAATCATTACAGGAATAGCCCATTAAAAACATTCAATAAAACAAGTGGGAACATCATCTTAGTACCTTTGTGGAGTAAACATCCTGTCTTCTGATGAGTCTGTTCAAAGGCTAGTGCATTAAGTGCGACATCAGTGCACATGATGGTTACATACCTTTTCAAAATACCTCTCTCCTCTCAGACACTCTGGGGCCATCCAGTAGGGAGAACCCACAATAGACAGCTTCTCATTTTCATTTCTAAAACAGAATATAGTTAGGACCTTAGTTTGAAAGAGGATCATATAGTTTTCATCCTGAAAAAAAAAAAGGTTTTTGTTGAGATAAAAATGTGAAACTGAGACTTCAGTTGATCTGCTATTACTATATAGATGGTCATGCTCGCTGACTTGCTAATATCTTTTCATAACCAAAAAAAAAAAAGGTTACACCAAAGATATCCCAGAAATCACATAGACCCTCATAGTTACTTACAGGTTTATATTCCATTAAAAGCAATCTGACCATCTGATGACATCAACAAGGCTATTTTGGTCTTAGTTAGCGGAGTATGAAAACAGTTTCTAACTAACAATCTTGTATACCCATGTAAAATAGCATAAAATCTGAACATACAGACTAAATTTGTGGTTCACCTCTATTTTGTAAATTCTCAACCTATAGGATTTTACCTGTATCCCTACAGGCCAGATGAAGTAAGACAGCCATGAAAAGTTCATCATTGATTCTCCAATACAAACAGGTGCCAAGCCAGAGGTAGTAAACAAAAACAACTATTTTCCCCTTATCAAATTATGACAACATGATATATCTACAGCACAGGAATAAGATACAAAAGGTGATATGAGGGTAAATATTTACAGGCAATGTGCCTTTAGGATAAATAATGGGCAGGTACTTCTTTCACAGTTGTAGTATACAGGTTAATTCTGACATATTTCAAATACAAAATGCAACAAAACAAGATCCTGAAATGAACAACAATTCAACTGCTGTGAAAGATTACTATAGAAGTGTTTGAATACTTAAAAAAAAAACCTCTTTACGATGGAAAATGAGCAATGAAAAAAGGTGATTGACCAAATAATATCTAGAGTTCCAATTTCTGTGAAAGCTAAACATAAGATTACTCAAAGTTGGCACTAAGTGCAAGTAATTACATTTGGTATTTAGAGAAAGAAGGCATTCCTGGAAAGTCAGATATTCATCGATCATCAGCACTTCCCCAAAGGAGAAAGACATTTCACCAAGTCAAGAAAGTTATTGTTTCTTGCATTTCATATACCTGAGAACATGTCATGTGGAGGTAAAGAGGTAACTAAGCTGTATAACTACAAGCAGACCTTCAGCCTTGTTTGTAACATCACTAGTAACTGGGTGAAGGGTTTGTATCCTTGACAGTAACAGATTTTTGAAGGAGACTACCAAGCAATTTGCTTCTCTTATGAGCAATTGCATTGTAAAATGGCAGTATCCGTCTTTGGTGAGGCAATTGACATTGGATACATATATTTTGAAGTCTTAATAAAAAATCAGCATTTTTACCTTTGTCAATACCTAGCAAAAACAGCGGTAATTTGCTGTCCACTTTTAAACCTATGGGGGCATGTGCAACATGCAACTTAAGTATTATTTTGCTGCCTGATTTGTGAAAATACACTTACAGTGGATCGGGAATCTTTGCTGCTAGACCAAAGTCTCCAATGACAGCTGTCAGCTTGTCTTCTCCTCTTCTGATTAACACATTCTAAAAAAATTTAAAAAATAATAATAATAAATAAATAAATAAATAAATAAATAAATAAATAAATAAATAAATAAATAAATAAATAAATAAATAAAATCTTAAGAA